GGTCAACAGAACTATGAGTAATGTAGACGGACACAAGAACAAGTATTGGGGGGGGATGACAAAGGTGGGGAAACGACCTGCTAGGGAAAGGACTACGATCCTAATGCTGGATGCAACAATTACACTACAATGTAATATATAATGAAAATGCTGCGGAAATGGCAATAGATATGGCACGCGGGCCAAACTAAATCTTGCCTAGGCAAAGCATGTACGCATACAAGCCGTGTCTAACTTAGAACGGTCTACTGAACTATGTTTCGACGTGAAAAGTATGGGCACATACCAGACCAAGCTCAATCATGGAAAGGCGTAAGCCATAGGCGGAGGTGATGCAGTGAATGCATGCAAACGATAATGCGATATGCACTACATTATAATGATGCATGGCAATGCGACTATTTACGATGGAAACTAATTTTCTAATTTGGTGATTGATGGAACTTACTTATCATTTGCTTTTCCAAGTCAATAAACAACCATATGAAGGTTTTCTTCTTTTATTTATTTATTTTTTTTATCAGCAAAAAAAGAGGAACCTTTATAGATGGAAAATCATACAAGATATGAGATTACATCAAATAAAGGGAAGGAGTTTGGTGAGGAACCAATCCCGAAAGGAAAAAAAAAGCAGAAGAATAGAACACAGACAAAGAGAACCAAAAACTGAACAGAAAACTGAATAGAACAAGCACAGCAGACACAGCTGAGAGGAAGGCAAACTTTGCATACATGGACCTTACACAGCAGATTCATCCATAAATTTCCAGCAGCCCACAAATTTCCAGCTCAAATCAGTTTAACAACTCAGCAAAACAAGATTTCCAACAAACATAGCAGAGCACGGCACAGCAAAGCAAATTTCAGCACAGCAAATTTCAGCATAACAAACATAGCACAGCAAATTTCAGCACTCCACCTTATATCAGTTCAGTGCAGTTCTGCTTTCCACATTAAGAAACAATATATTAAAAAAAAAGGGTGTGTGATTCCTGTTAGATCAACAGCCATGTGGGATATAATCTAACTGTTTTCCCCTCCCATTCACCTTCCAAATGTTCTTTGTCAATAAGTTTGGCTAGTTCTCCTAGGTGGTTCCATCTTTTGAGCACCAAATTGAGGCACATCATCACCTTATTTGAATTCTTGAATAAAAAATATATTATTGACGTGCGATGGTAGGGGGAGAGGGGAAGAGAACGATGGAGAAGAGAGAATATGATAGAAAAAAAAGAGAGGAAGAAGATGGGCAGAGAAGAGAGAAGAGGGAAATTAGGTAAAGTCATTTTTTGGTGTAAAATGATTGTTTTATGAGAGGGCAATTACAAATTCAACATTTCTGTTAGGTCTGTTGGTGAACTAACTATGTCAGTGAAGCTCAATATAATTTCATGAAACTAGTGGGACTTGTTCTAATAAACCCAAACCTTATGAGAGAGCAGTGTAATTTACCCATTAAGTAACTTAGCAAAGTGTGCTGGCCCATTATCCAGTAATTAGAACTGTATAGGATACGGGATTGGTCTTGTGATTAAATGCATCTATTTTCTTTATCCTTACTTATGGCTCCACAAGACAAGCTGCAACACTCAGTTATGACTCTTTAAGTAATTCATTCTGCTAACCATAGGTGCTGCGACGATTCAAGTATACTTAAAAATGTCAATGGATTAGTTACCGTATAGGTCAAGTGGGTGGGTTATTAGTCTATGAGGAATTTTCATCTTATACCTAAGAGAATGTACAAATGTAGGGAAGTACATTACATTATAGGTAAACTTGACCAAACTAGCTGTTGCTAGCCTTAAACTTAGAATGCTAATTCTCTCAGGCTGTGTTTGGCTATTGGATTTGTGTAGGGGTTTGTGGAGGGAAAAATAAACTTGACCAAACTAGCTGTTCCTGTGTGTACTTCTCTATGATGAGTATGTATATGTATTTTAATTATTTGTTTAATGAAAGTTGAAGTTTTTATAATTATTGTAATACAATTGCACAGTTGAAAGCCAATGCCAGAGTGGTCAAATCGCAGTGTATATAATGCATATGTATGTGTATGCTTATGCACCAGCTGGGGAAAATAACAAAAAAAAAAAACTCCACTTCATTCAGCTATAAAGGCCACTAAATTACAACATGATCAGAAACTTAACGTGCTTAACTATATCAGCAATCTTTTGTAGAGCTTGATGATGAGACTTCGCATCAGCTTATAGAATCGAATGAGCAAAAATGACATATCAGAAAAGCATAAAAGCATGAAGATCATTAAAAAATATCATTTGGTGGGAAAAATATCACACAAACAAGAGAGAATAAAATGTGGCATAAATGAAAGGAAGTCCAACTTATTTGCTATCACACTGGTCAATCCCCAGTGCCAACCTAACCTTGTTCAAAGCAGCAGAAAAATATAGAAGACCCTAAACCTCAATATTAAAAATTTATTTGGTCTATTCTACTTAAAACAAACCAACTTCTACAAATGCCCTATGAATACAAATGTAAAGCAACAAATAACTGATCCACCATGAGGAGAAGACCTTCACAGGTAAGGCATAAAGATCAGATCAGATAACACTAATGGATAATCACAAATTGAGAGTGAATTCCTGTACTTCTTGTAACCTGTACTTCTTGTTTCCCATGACGAGAGTGAATTCCATAGTCACGGCACCAGATATGGCTGTGTTTTTCATGGCGGCTAACGCACGGACCAAGCAGGTAAAGGGTGGAAACGTGAGGATATCACTGCAGTCTGGTCAGGTTGGCGATTCAAGGTTAAATTTGGAGGGTGTCGAGGGGTTTCCGGCACCAGAGTTCAAGTATAGAGTAGCGGTGAGTAGGTCAAAGAAGCCCATGTTGGATACAATCCCAGAAGAGCCTCTTTGTTTGAGTAGAAAATCTATGTACCATGAATTTTTATTTCGAAACTCACCTCAAAAGTAAGGTTAGTCAAAAATTGTTGTCAATGTTATATAGAAGGAAAATCACTAGTTGTCTAATACATCAGGTAGGAAGCACCCAAGGCATCTAATCCATAGTTGATGGGACTTGATTAGGAATCCAGTCGATCCCATATAATCATATTTGGTTGGTAAAAATAACATGGTACTAATTGTCTTTAGGATTATGAATCGCTCACATTGTGGGATTAGCATTCCCATGAAGTGGGATTGTGAATCCAATCCTATAAAATTGGATGTGAAAAGACTAGTTTGTTGTACTTTACAACAACAAAGCAACCTTTTAGACAAGGATTTTGTTGAAGTGTGTCCCTAGGGCATGAGTTTACAAGTTTAAAAAGAATGCACATTCTGCATAACTTAACGTGTGCCTTAAAAGGCACACATCAACTACACTAGTAATCTCATCACTCAATCCCATTGCACTTGTAATCTAACTCAACTTGATCCAACAATCAAACATGGCCTAAATACATCCACTTAATTTTTCTACACACTTGCTACAGCGATCCTAATCATTGTACTCTATGAAATGCTAGCAGTTGATCCGTATGTACGAGATAAAAGGAGAATGAAAATCAAAATAATATTTCATAAATTATTTAGGGAAAGGAGGTTGGTATATCTGAATAATCAAACCTTGTGTCCTGGCTTCCATATAGGAATAGGAAGGAGTAAGCCTTGCCTCCTACTCTGGATATTGGAGTGTAGGGAGGTGATCTTCTTGCATCCTATTCCTGTATGTGAAGTGAAGGGAGGGTGTTCTGCTACAAGTTCAAGTTTACTGTTTTATGGCACGACTTAAAACAAGAGATACAACAGATGGCGCACAAAGCTATGAGGTCCAAGGTAAATACTAGATTTGGATTTTTCGCTTCATGAAGGAATCCAAAGCAAATGAGACAATTAGGAAGAGACTTGTAGTAAGGCATGGTCAGTTTGAAAGAATCAGCAAAGAGAATGTGTAAACAAACAGAGTGAAGCCAGTGTGTTCGTGCTTGTTAGTCCTAGCTTTCACCAATGCAGCGCAGACCTAACCTTTGTGCTATGTGCAAAGTGACTGCTCTAGCTAGAATTGGTGTGTTTTTGCTTTTTAGTCCAAAAATTTGCCAATGCACTAAAAAATAAATAAATAAAACCTATTTTTTATTAAAAAAAACAAAACTAGTCAAACAGATTGTTCTTCCTTTACAATTAATCTAAATATAAATAAAAAAATCTTCACAGAACATACCTACGAGACTCATGGAATAAGCCTCCAAGCTTGATGCATGATATCATTGTTTATAAAAGGGCGCAAGGACCACATCAGGCTGTAGCTTTCTAGTTCTCCTGATGACGATTTGAGATTAAGTGAAGAAACGATCCTTTGCTACAACAAAGTGATAATTTTCTCAGTCAGACCCCCTAAAAAGTGTTGACCGAAGGAGAACTTAAACCTTGTCATAGAATGTACACAATTTTCCCAGATTCGGATCATTATGCAGAAAAAGAGAAGAAATTAATCTCCCAATTTGGTTGGTTTTCAAAATCTATTATGTTATTTTTTCTTCAAAAAAAAAAAAAAAATTAGGAAAAATATTCTGAAAATGAAACCAAACAAGGCAATAAATCTTCAAATTAGAAATATCACACAACATGAGGGAGCTTAGTACCTGCATAATGTAGTCCAGCTTCACCATACTATATATAACACTCATCATGGCAGCATAATCAGTGTGTTCTGGTTTCGGAAGCTCAGAAGATACGGTTTCCTCCTGAAGAAAAAAAGAATCACAATGTTATAATTCAAACCGGAAACTAATCTCAAATAAGAGTTCTAAATACCTCTGCAGGTGGTGTTTGCGACAAGAAATTGTTGCACATCAATCAAAAATTAATAATTTGGCCAATTTCAAGCTAGATAGCCTTTTCTTTTACATTTTTTCCAAAAACAAATTTTATTGAAGCCCTTTGGATTTAATATATAACCAAAATCTAGGCATGAAATGCAGTGGAAGTAGACGAATAAATGCAAATAATTAAATCATCAAAAATTGGGAACAATCATTGCAAGCGGAAACAATCAGCTCAAATTTTGCAAATAGCAAACCATGTAAAGAGACTAAGTTATTTCTGCAAAAGGAGGGCGAGTGTTGCCAACCACCACATTAATACCATGTCACTCCAACAGAAAGATCTGACATCATTAAGCTGTTTATTAAATTATTTGTCATGTTTTATTTAGTTGAAAATCTCCCCTTACGCACTCTACTATACGGCAATGGGCAAGTTCACTCCGGGCTCCCTTTTCACCATGAGATCAAACAACTATATTATTGGGAAGTAGTACACCATAGTTCTAGTCCTAGGATTCCATATCGTTCATTGTCTTAGAGCTCCCAACTATGATGATCTTTTCTCGAGCTAGTCAACAATTTGTGGATCCATGGTTTGACTTTCTCCCAACAAGCCAAAAAATTTACCAGCCAAGCATGATAGATCAGAAGCCATCATATCTGTTGGCCACAACATTAAAACACAAAATAATTGCTGGGGAAAATTGGGATGACCATTAACTTCAAACCCAATTAGCACCAAGAGACCTTGGTGCCTCAGTGTGCCTAGCACCTCAAATAAATGTATCACAAGTCAAATTGCAGCAATGAACATTCTAGAAAGATATCCACCCCAAAACAAATACTCGTCTCTCAAGAATATCGAAATTAACAACCCCATGTCAAATCCCAAACAACCCTAATTCAAGTAAAGTAGGTGTGCAAGCAAGCATCTAAATAACAAAATCGTATACCTTGTTTATCTATTTCATACTCTCGTTCTAAGAAGTAACAGTCCCATTGTCTTCAGATCAACATGACCAAGATTCAGAGTCAAAATCTGCCCAGAAGATTAATGCTATTGAGATTGCAGAAGATACTGTATCTTCACCTACCCATCATAATGCAGAGCTAAAAATGCATATTGCCGATGCTACCACAGTCCCATTGTCTTCAGATCAACATGACCAAGATTCAGAGTCAAAATTTGCCCAGAAGATTAATGCTATTGAGATTACAGAAGACACTGTATCTTCACCTATCCATCATAATGTAGAGCTAAGAACTCCATTGGAACAAAAGGTTGAGTTACAAGATGATCAATTTGGTGTGGAATCATGGGGTGAGCAAGATTCAGAATCAAAATCTGCCCTTCAGATTAATGTTATTGAGAAAGCAATCTCAAATAATTAAAAGTCTAGAGAGGGAGAGAGCGAGAAACAGAGAGAGAGACAGACAGACCGAGAGTGAAAGAGAACCTGTGAGGATGCGGCGGCGGCGGCGGTGGTGGCGCTAGCAGTGGCGTGCGACGTTGGTCTGAGATGAGGTGAGATTGGGTGAGGATCTTCTAGAAATGAGGAGTCCATTAGACAGAGGGCGATGGCGATTTGCGGCGGTGGCGATGTGCGACGGACTTGAGCAATGGTGGTGAGGGACTTCGGTGAGCTACATAGAGTGGGCACCGATTGAGAGAGAGAACACAGAGAGAGGGAGAGGGCAGACCAACATGGACACAGAGAGGGGGCTAGAGACAGAAGAGATTAGGGCTTTTTTTTCCCTTTTTTTTTTCTATTTTCCTGTACAAAACGACGTCGTTTTAAAAATGGCGACCAAATTTTTTTGTCGCAAAAAAAATTCAATTCCCGCCTCTATAAAAATCAAATTTCCGTCCCAAATTTTTGGCGACCAAAAGACTATATTAGTCGCAGAAAAGGTACCTTCGCCGACAACCTTTTTTAGTCGACAAATCTCAATCAACGGCAACTAAAATATTAGTCGCTAAAAGTACAAATTTGGCGACTAATTTTTTTTTGGTTGCTGAAAATAAGTTTTTGGCGACCAAATTTTTGGTCGCCAAAAAATATGTGACCTTCCGCGACCAAATTTGTAGTTGGTTGGCAAAAACATACCACTTTCTGCGACCAAATCATTTTTTGGTCGCCAAAATATAACCTTCTGCGACCAATAATATTTGGTCGCCAAAAATAATGATCATTCGCGACTAATTAATATTTGGTCGCCAAATGTCATTTTTTTGTGACCAAAATTTATTTGGTCGGCAAAAGTGGTCGCAAAATGTGTAAATTATTGTAGTGACATGTTAGATCACCACTAGTCGCAAAAGTTTAAGGCCAAGTTTGGCATCCTCAAAAAAATTCAAAAAGTCAAAAAGTCACTATCCTATTTAAGTCACATCATCTTATTTAAGTCATATCACCTCTCTATCACATCACTTCAAACTCAACCTATACCCAACCCATATTTCATAAAAAGTCAAAAAGTGCACTTATTTAGAACATTCCAAAGTTAAAAAATGGGTCCAACAATGTATATCAAACTCTCCAATGGTACCACTTGTCTCATAAGCACGCAATTATTTCTTTTCAAAGAATGCTACACTAATGGCTGGATGCGAGATTATTCCCATTGTAGGCAGGACAATCTGGGTTGAGCACCACGAGGAAAATCTATTTCGGCATTAGCAGCTTGCCAATGCTAATATCTTTGGGGTTCCAAACAATTTCTGAAGGCACACTAGATGCTTGAGCTAATTAATTGTATATTAAACAGTTTTGACATGTAAGAAGTTGAATCTAATGCCATTTATTTAATGTGCTTCTGCTTTTGAGTGATTATAGTTTATACATAAAGCTAAATTTTCATTATTCTTCAAATATATATTTTCTTTCTATATCCTGAATGCGGAGTATAGCGATCCCGGTTGTCCCTTTACTGTTCTGTTGTATTCCGGACTCAGTTCCGTGAAGTTGGTAATTGTATCTATCTTGTTGTCGTCCTTTAATTCCATTTGTTTGAGTTTGAGGATGTTTTGGGCGGAGTTGTTACAGGTTGGTTGGGCTTTGGTTTCAATTATTTGTTGCCCAGTTTTTAGGAGGTCCGCTCGAGCGGGTCTTCTTGCGCTCGAGCGGGGATTGCACACTCCCAATTTTTCGTGTCCCTGCAAAACTTCTGCAGGTGTGATTTCTACGCTCGAGCGGGTTTCTTTACGCTCGAGCGGGGGCGCTCGAGCGGGTTTGTTGACGCTCGAGCGGGTAGTGCCTTTTTGGTGTAAGTTCTGGGAGGGGGAAATCTACGCTCGAGCGGATGTA